GCCCTCTGTTATTTATATCAGTCCACTGGAAAAAAAAATAGAGGTTTTGGAGCTTCTCCAAATAGAATGCAATTTCGTGCAAGTGTTCCTGCCTACTGTCATAGTTACAGGGGCTGGGACAAGTTTATCATTATGTGGGTAGAACCAAAAACTGTATTCAATACCCTCTATGTCACTGCTCATGCGCTGTTAACAAATCATGGGTAGCAGCTGCCCAGGACAGACCTCACACCCCAGGCTATAACAGATAAGGAAAGAGGGTCAAGGTCAGGGGAGATGTTAACACCTTCCCACCCAGCAGGAGGAGTCCTCCCTGTTCATGGGCCCATCCATGCCTTGAGACAGGACTCATACAGAGCTCCCTCCAGGACTTTAATGGGCAATCAAGGACCCACCACATGACTCATAGAAAGACATCAACCCATTGTGAGATGCTCCACCCAGGGGGAGGAGCCAAGTGCTCCCACCTGGATATAAACTGGGGTTCAGTACAGCACAGGGGGCCTTACCCACTGGATTTCCAGAGGACAAGAGCTACCAGATCTTTTCTACGAGACCACTGTTTCATCTGGACTGCTACCACCACCCTAACTACAGAGTATCAGGTTGTATTCTGACTCTGTCTGTGGTTTTTCCTTGTACTGTTGACGTACGGAAATAGGCTCTATAACTCAAAAGTTCTACAGTAGGTATGTTCATTGTGTGCAGATGCGCAGGGGATTGCTCCACCACAAACGTGCATGCGTGAGGAAGTGAGCCATCCCATATTTACACAGTAAAACAATGCATATTCATGTGATGCCTATGTATATTCATTACCTAACCCCGCCTACTCCCACTTTGTATGTTAATGCATGCTAATTAGCTGATTAGTCCTTTGCACTTGCGCAAATCCTCTCCAGAAATTGTGGGCAGGGTCTTCCTATCATGGGCAGTGGTCTCTGGGAGGAAGGCCGTAGGTCTTCTTCACAATGTACTTTTCACCCCTTTTCTCAAAATGTGATGACCTTGCAAGTTTGCAGTATTCTTACAGTCTGAATACGTTTTAATTCCCTTTTTTTCCACTATGTCTCGTCCAATATCCTAAGGAGAGCGGTTTTTCTGCTGATCATGATAATAAAACCCTTAGTTCCCTTTTCCCCCCACCATTTCTTGTCTAATAATAAAACCCACAAGCAGCATTCTTATGCAAGCCCTTGCTGAGAAGCAGAACTCCTTTTAGCCAACAGTCTACATTTTAAAATTCTTAATATGTATAACTAATCATTATTTTTTATCTTTCATTATTCTTACTCCATATCACTGTTGCATTTATTTTATTTTTCCTATTAAATTGTATTTCTGACTTGGAGTCCCTCACTGGTTTGCTTTCAAACCATTATACCTACTTACTAAAGAATTCACTTTTAAAACTGCAGAGTCAGGTGGTCAAGTAGCTGAGTAGAAAATGCTTCAGATATTCTTTAATCTTTATTCAGATTTATCTTCATTCATATTCTTACTAATATATTTACATTAAAACTACATTTCTGAGCATCTCTGAAGTTTCAAAAGCACTTTGGCTTTCATGGACAAATGTAATTCTCATCTTTTTGACGTGACTGATATTAAGCAGTATTAAAGGGTTATTAATGTGTAGATGTATTCTGCTCTGATCTTCAGGCATTGTGAAAAGGACAGAGATGCACTATGTGACTGTGGAGTAAAGTCCTCTGGCATTGTTGGAAGAATAATTTGTTCAAGTTTGTTGTAGATAATCCAATATCTGATAGATATTCAAAATATCTTTGAAACTATTTAAGTATTTACTTCAAAAACAATTATGTAGAATTCTAGACAAAAGGTGGATGACAAACAGCATGTGGTTAACACCACACTTCAACATGGCACAGGACTGTTACACCACCTAATTCCCACAGTGCTATTTCTTTTTCCTTTTTCTTTAGCAAATCTGTCTTTTAAAACATAATTTATGCTACTGAATCCTAATACTGATTTTGCAGAATTTGAGACCTAAGGTTTGTCTGTTTAATAAAGTTTCTGTAGTTATGCATACAGCAGAAGCGTATTTAGTTTGGTATAAAAAATGTTCTTTGTACTTGCAAATGTTTTCCTATAGAAATATGAGAAACAGAATGGTAATCCTATACTGGGTAAGGATTTCCACTCAAGATCCACATAAATGGTTTATTTAAACATCACAGTGACTGATTAATGTGTTCACATTTACAGCTTTCCTTTAGCTTTCTTTTCGTCAGGTAGCAACTCTTCTTCAGAGCAGGACTTACCTTGTATTGGAAATCAAAGTATGAGAAAAATCTGTTTTCTTCTTAGATAGACTCTTGTGTTCAGTTTTCTTGTTAGAGCAAACTTGTCATTGATGTGACCTCAGACTGCCAACAGACTAAAAGCAAGGAGCAGAGGGAAGAGAGCAGGTCTATAGCTTGTAGACAGAATGTTTGGCAAGTAGCAGCTAAAATTATAAATGGTGTGATCTAGCAATACCATTATGGTACTATTTGCTTTACCAGGACTGCCCCATGCAAGATTTCAGGTTGAGATCTCAGACTGTATGTTTACTTTTAAGAATTTGAGAAAATCAAATGGCATTGTGTTAAATACTTCTAGTTTAGTGATTCATGCCTGAATAAAACACGGACTTATAAAGTACATAATCAGCCAAACCCTCGAGCTTGAAAAGCACCATTGACTAGCAATTAACTGCTAGAACAGACAGTGATGCTGTTGCATTTTAAGATGACTGCCCCACCAAAAAGAAAGTACAGTCCATGTCTGACTGCCCAGACTTTGAGCCTCGGAGAGTTCTATAGGCCAGGTGCTCAGCTTTTATTTTGCATTTTTGAGTTTCCATTGTAGCTTTTCAGTGAACACACTGCTCTTTCAACAGGTACTGCAATGGCTGCAGGAGTTTTGCTGCAAAATGAACTACCGTATTCTTCGTTGCTAGAGAGCAGTCTGTATCTTGCAAAAATGAGTTCAGGTAATAATTTTTCTCTGATATGCCATTCATCAAAAGTGTTTAGAGAAATTTGGGAGGAAAAATATTCTCCACAGAAAATGGAAAACCTCAGAAATACTATCCCCAATTATAAACCTAACATGTCTATAACAAACTCAAACTGCATTACTTTATCATCACCATGATGTGTTAATTTGTTGGGCTTTTCTCAGTATGTACCTTTCATATTGTCAGATCTCTTAAATGAAACAATGTGATTTTAGGTCTCTAAAAATACAAACATGCTTTGAACAAAGCTTCCCTTTCTCATAAATTATTTACACTCTTGTAGTATATGTCATTCATTCTTACTATTTTGTGTGAGTACTTGCAAATCCTGATAGATTCAAAATTCCGCAGGAAAATAATGTTGTGCAGCATTTTATTTTGCTGATCTCTGGCTCCACTGTCTTTTGGTATATACTGAAAAAAGTTTCTGGGAAGAGAAGAAGAAAAAGAATTAAATACAAGAAAGCAATATAATTAATAACAAAACATTTTTCATGGATACAGGTAGGACTTGAAATAGCCTTATTAATCTCCTTTCTTTTCCACTCAGTCCCCCAAATAAAAACCTATTTAAGTATTTCCTCACCTCCTGATATCAGTTTTATTATTGAATTAGTGTAGTCAGAGTTTTGAGACAACAGGTAGCAGGGTCAGGTCGTCCTTTCCTTTTGTCACACATCACTGCTGATGTTTCAGGCCTGGTATCTACAGGAAACCTGACCACATACCCTTCAGACTGGAGTGCAGTATTGAGAATTCAGTCACACTGCTCAGTACCTAGAGGAAACAGTAGATTTTGGCTTGATGAATTTTTCTTGGAAGAGACCTTATGCAAATTCCCCTGTAAGAGTTACTGAGTTTTTGTTACAAGAAGAAAAATAGACTGAAGGTGGTATATATCTTTAGGAAAATGCAATGGGATTAATTTGCTTGTTGAACACAGTAATGGTGGGTTTTCTTGATTTCCCCAGTCTTTCCCTTTAAATTACACTCTAATGTGCAGACAGTGGGATGGGGGTTTGGGGTTTATTTTGGTTGGTTGGTTGGTTGTTTTTTTGTTTGTTTGTTTGGTTTTTTTTAGTATTGCTATAGTCTGTTCTACACATAGTTGCATGAGAATTTTGTGCTTTTGAGAGGATTGCAATCTTTCTGCTCAGCTCATTTACTCTTTCTCAGCACTATGGAAGTAAAGTGGGAGGCAATTTGCCACTTAATATCTACCTTCAAAAGCCTAAAGTGTTCAACTGATACATCTCCTCCCCATAATCTGCTTTATCTCAGTCTGTAGGGCTAACAGCTTTGCTTAGTAAAAAAGCTGTGCCTTGAAAAAAAAGAAGCCTTTTGTTTTGAGTAACAAAATGTGTTTTGTTGGAAGATATGAATGGTCCAGAGCGAACAGCCTAGGATTCATCGTGTACTGAACCATTTCAGTAGGAACACACTAATCCAAATCATTGCAGAGCTAATGATGCATTTTGGAGGAACTAAATGGAGGAGAAGAGGTGGTTGTGGAACGTTAAACCAAGAGGTGGGGGAGTATAATGTGTGTACTTACAGATTTTTCAGGAAGGAGAGCCTCCAGCTATATTTTGATTGTTCATTTGAATCTTGTATTTTGTGTCTGAGCAAGTTCTGAATCCCTATCATTTACAACTAACCGAATACATTGTTTATTGAAAAAGTTTCGCTTGTTCCCAGTCCGATTTCAAAATTATCTACTTGAAATGCAACTGTTTCCATCAAGCAGCAGAACAGTTTGTCCCAACCTGACTCAATTCCTATAGAAAGGAGCAGCCCCTTGGATAACTGGCAGCAGTGCCTTCATTGTTAGTTACTATGGAGACAGCTCAGCCCATGCTGATGAGCTGCTGGAGCGTGCGGGAGGATGCACAGAGCTCCCCAACTTCAGTGCCGAGCAACTTGAATTTCCATAAAGGACGTCCTCAGCACCCTTCCTAGACAGTAGCTGGGGCTGCTCAGTCATGCAGGGTTCACCCCGAAGACGTTCGGCAGTGAGTATTTTTAGCAACTTTTTCCAGGGTCGGAGGCATTCTTCCTCTGATCCCCTTCTTTGTGTGGTCCAGAGGCGCCGGAGCTCGGTTGTAGAGGTGCTTTCATCAGCGACTCGACGGGTTATGGTGGCAGTATCATCTCTGAGCCCTGAGGAGCTGTATCCAGGTTTTCCTGAAAAAAAAAGTAAAGTACTTTTCATTAAGGCTTTTGGCAGTTCTTGGTGTTTTCTTGGTACTGCATTAATGTAATTTTGTTCTGTTAACTATATTTTAAATGTATGCATAAAATAATGGCTTTCAAATTTTCTCCCCTGTGTATTTTGTTCACTGATTCCTTATTCAAGGGTTAATGTTTGTATTTCTCTCTCTTAACAGCTCACTTAGAAAGAACAGATAATACAGAAATACATGTTTACACATGCACCAAGTATACAGCTAAATATTTTCAGTTTCAGGTGGAAGAGGACACTGACATTTGTTTCAGTTGCAAAGGATAACACATGCATTTGACTTGATCAGAAAAAACAAAGTAACTGTAAGAAAATACAATTTCTGCAGTAATACAAAAAACTTCTTCCCCTTGTCATCCTTACTTTGAGATTGTGCTGAAAAAGGAGCATTAAATCTATATTCCATGTATTTATGCTGTTTGTAATGTCATCAGTTTAAGCTTGAACGGGTAGTTTTATAAGGTGGAGATGAATTTCTAAGCTTCCTTTTGCCTGTGTTCTAGGAAGTTCGAGGCGTCCAACAGCAAAATACACAAAAGTAGGGGAGAGCCTTCGCCACGTCATCCCTGGTCACATGCAGTGCTCAATAGCGTGTGGTGGACGTGCCTGCAAGTACGAAAACCCAGCTCGATGGAGTGACCAGGAGCAAGCCATTAAAGGGCTCTACTCTTCTTGGTAATTAGCAGCATTTACTCTTACTAAATGTAGCTGCATTGGTTCTGTTTATTAAATGAGAGAATTCAAAGGAAAACAGTGAGGGTTTTTTTTAATATCAACCACTGCTAAGTATAAAATGTAACAATAGCTTGGTTCAAAATTTCAGCTTAACGGTAAACTATAATGGCCATTTTGCATGGCCCAGTAAAGATGTTGGAAGATTTCTGGTGACTTGCAATGAGTTTGATTCAGATGCAAAAGAATAAATATGTATCTGTCATGAATTATAAAAATCCCTATTCTGGGTTATAAACAGTTCTTGTGAAGGTTTAAAATGCAAATTAGTTAAAATGTGTCCATAACAGCATTTAGAAGTAAAAATATTTATTGAGGATGAAATAGGGTAAGTTGCATGTCCAAAGCATATTCATATGTTCATATGTGCTACACATATGAAATGTATCTTCACATTCTTACTGATTTTTTTTGTAACAGCAAATGCTATTCAGAAGTATACCAACTTTAAAGGGCCAAACAAAGATCTGAGAATAGTTTTCTATTCAAAGGCATTTTTTTTAATAAGTCAATTAGCCTGACATTTAAACAGCTCCAGTAATGGACTTCTGGTACGTTGTGTCTGTATCAGCTTAACAAGATATAGCACTAATGCTATATAATAGTAGATCTTTTTGAAAAATCATTTCTAGTTAATCAGCAAGGTATTTCTGTCTGTCTTGAATATAACAGGATATTCTTGTTTTGATAGATTCATGCTCAGGAAGTTATTAATAACAACATTCTTATCTACTTTTCTCAGGATAACAGATAACATACTGGCTATGGCTCGACCTTCAACGGAATTAATTGAAAAATACAACATTATTAAACAATTTGAAAGGTAACAAATGTGGTCATTATTTATTGTAGGTATTACTAGTGTGATTCCTGATCCATTTTCTCTTTCAACATTGATTTGAGTTGTTGGTAAAGGTTCTCTCGTTTTAACAGTATACAGGTGAAAATCTATTCCCCACTAAGAATAAATGTGTGTTTCAGAGAATAAGGGCTAAATGAGATTTTTGGCTATGTATAATACTTTGACTCATCTATTCCTTCCTTAAGATGTGGCATAAAAACTGTAATTAACCTTCAGCGTCCGGGGGAGCATGCGAGCTGTGGGAATCCACTGGAACAAGAAAGTGGCTTCACTTACCTTCCTGAAGCTTTTATGGAGGCTGGAAGTGAGTTCACTCCTGCTGCTGTTCCTCATGAATTATTCATTTTGGCACTTAGAGATATTTGTACTTGAATTCTTTTGTGTTAAAAGCAGCTATGTAAGAGTCATTGCACAAAACGGGATGTAAACATGAAACTTGGCAAATACAATAATGAGTAAGTAACACATTGTTGAAGATCATATATATATGTAGAGTGAGTTGCAGGGTTTATGTTCAGGTGTCTGGAATAAAGAGAGGACAACAGCTAGATAAAAAGTTTTCTTTTTCATCTGAGTTCACAAGTATATAAAACGTCAATGGTGTTTCAAATTCTGGTACTATTCATGTTTTAACTAGAGTATAAAAGGTTGTATCATTTGAGAAGATTTGTATTGACAGTGTTTTTGTATTTTCATACTATGGTGACATAAGAAAAAGTGCCTTTCTGTAAGAAACAGTTTTTGACTGAAGAAATGCTTTTATTTCTGAAAAGAAAAAAATTGCCCTCTACTTATATATAGCTCAGTAGTTTTTGTATGAATCACTCAGTTTTGTTATACCTTTTACATTCTAGCTGAACTTGAGTTTGACAGATCTTTGCAAGCTTCCTGTATTTATCAAATTCCAATAGCAATCACACACTGAAATGGGAAAATAATCTTGCAAACAATATGTACTCAGATTCCATTATGCAATTTTAGTACTATCATTTAGTATTAGTCATCTGTCCTCTGCATAAAGTGCTGAAAATGTTACATTTGCTACATCAGAAAATAACTTTCATTTCTTTTTATTTAAGTTTATTTTTATAACTTTGGATGGAAGGATTATGGAGTGGCATCTCTCACTACTATACTTGACATGGTCAAAGTCATGGCTTTCGCCTTGCAGGAAGGGAGGGTTGCTGTTCATTGTCATGCAGGACTTGGTCGGACAGGTATGTGCTCTACTACAAGATGAACAGAATTGTTTTTCTAAAAATGCAAACAAGTCTCTGGTTATAAATTATTAATGATGTGCTTAGAGTCTATATGATTGCAAGATGTACATCTATAAATTGGTTAAAAGTGCTAAACAAACATGTGCAAATGAGATGAATGGCTAGAGGAGATCAGTTTTAGTATATTAAAACCAGAAACCTGTAAGATTAGAAAATTTTTGAATCAGCATCATAATTCCCTGTTACATTCAAATAGGACAGCTAGACGGAAAAATTCATCTAGTACACTTATGTTGGCCAATATTATATATTTACAAAGCTTCCTCTCATTGTTAGATAGGGTAGATTTGATGGAGCACCTAAAGTTTCACTTCCTTCTTTCAAGACCTTTTTGCCTATGTCCTGGAGAAGCCACCATTTCTTCCATGTTTGCAAACGATGGAACTCCTAGAAATGTTGTGGTGGGAAACTAGCTCTCACTGAAAGTGTAGTAAGAATGGATTTACTATCTTGTGTTCAACAAATGCAATTATTTTGCCCCTGGACTTGGCACTAGGGAAGCCACAGCTTGCATGCGGGGTTCAGTTTTGGGTGCCACAGGATAACAAAGACCTTGGTGGGCTGGAGCAGGTCCAGAGAACAGCAAGAAGGCTGGTAAGGGGTCTGGGGAACATGTCTTCTGAGACATGTCTGTGATCATTTAGTCTGAAGAAGAGGAAGCTGAGGAGAGACCACCTTGCTCTCTATAGCTTCTTGAAAGGAGGTTGGAGGGAGGTGGGGGTTGGTCTCTTCTCCCAAGTAACTCACAGTAGGACAAGAAGCAGTGGGCTTAAGTTGTGCCAGGGGAGGTTTAGGTTGCATATGAGAAAGAATTTCTTGAGTACAAGAGTGGTGAGGCATTGGAGCAGCCTGACAGGGAGGTGGTGGAGTCCCCATCCCTGGAGATGTTCTGAAAGCATGTAGACATGGTACTTCGTGACATGGTTTAGTGTTCATAGTAGTGTTGGACTGATGGCTGGACTTGATGGTCTAGGAGTTCTTTTCCAACCTTAATGATTCTATGGTTCTGTGGTTCTATGAACAATAATAGATAACAGCATCATGTAATAGGGGCATAAAGGCTGTATCTTTACCAGTATTGATTTTTATCTCATAGTTCCACTAATTATTAGTATTAGTGTGATAATTTTTTCAGCTAATGCTTATCTTTGTATTTTCCAGGCGTTCTAATAGCTTGCTACTTGGTTTTTGCAACCAGAATGAGTTCTGATCAAGCAATTCTTTTTGTCAGAGCAAAAAGACCTAATTCTATTCAGACTAGAGGGCAGTTGTTATGCATCAGAGAATTCACTCAGTTTTTGGTTCCTCTGAGAAATGTCTTTGCATGCTGTGAGCCCAAGGCACACACAGTGACGCTGTCCCAGTACCTGACCCGTCAGAGACATCTGCTCCATGGTTATGAGAGTAGGCATCTCAAACATGTACCAAAACTTATTCATCTGGTTTGCAAATTGTTGCTGGACTTGGCTGAAAACAGACAAGTGGTAGAGGCAGAATTGCTAGATATACCAGATTTCTCAGCTGAAATTGAGAAGACTGTTTCTCAGTGGGTATCCACACAGCTAGATGGAGAGCTCTCAAGGCAGGACAGTGATACATCAGAGTCCTCCAACAACCACTCATCCACTTTCGAGACCCAGGATTCTCTTTGCTCCCTGGGACATGAATGTGATCCTCTTTGGAAAAGAAGGAACGTCGAATGCCTTCAGCCTCTTACTTATCTGAGGAGGCGTCTAAGTTACAGTGAGTCAGATTTAAGGAGAACCGAATTTCTTTTAGAACAAGGAGAAACTGCATGGACAGTGCCTGCTCAGATATTACTGTGCAACAAACTTAAGCAGAACAGTGGTGAGGAGTGTCCTGCTGCAGGTGAAAAAAAGCCACAGTTGGATTTAAACAAAGAAACATTAGTGCGTAATACGTGCATCTTCTGGAGTCAAGGTAAATTTAATCTGTATGGACAAAAGGATGGAGCATCGCTTTATCACAGAAGGGACTCTACCAGAGAAGTACAACGCAGCAGAACCTTTTCTTCAGGTCTAGCATCTATGCACAATGCCAAGGAACCCAGGCACAATTTTACCAGTAAGGTCTGTCATAAAAATGACTGCAAGACTGATATGTGTAGCAGAAGAGCCTATGTCTCTGAGGACTCTGATTCTTCTTCTTCTTCTAAAGTGAACTTTTCCATTGGATATGAAAGCCAAGGTAACAAAGATGTGTCAGAGTCAATTCCACACATTGTTCTGCAGTCAGAATTAAGTTTGGAGGCCCGAAGAGTTTTGGCAGGAAAAGCACTTGCAGATATAAATGAATTTCTTGGAGAGGATGAAGTGAAGCAGAAAGTAGAAATGTGGCAGGTAATTTGAAACTTGATTCAATGTTATGGGCTCTGCGTATTTTACCTGGGTTAATTCCTAGAATGACCAAAATGCCCCCACATACTCTGAAATGACACATCTGGACACCAGTTTATACTGTGCTTGAGTAAATGGTTCTATTTCAGTTATGGGCCACTTATTTCAAAAGCAAGAAAAATGCACCTACAAATTTTGCTCTCTAGCAAGAGGTTAAAACATTGTTTCTGGTTGCATTCATTCATTTTACTAACTAGTGAAAATTGATGCAATTAACTGTGGTTGTAACTTGGCTGCTGGTAGCATAAAAATACTATGGATTTTAAGGTGGAGCTGGTGTTGTTTTTAATCAGTGCTTTCTCAGACCTAAACAGAGGATCCTGTGTGTAAAAGAATTTAGTAGAAGCTCAACTGCTTATCCTCAAACCCAAATCCTTGTAACAACATTTGCTTTGAAGTTGGAATCCAGAGCTAGTTTATTCTAGTAGAGAACTGGGTGTTTCTGAGCTGGGTTGTTTATTTCATCCTTCTGTTTTCAAGAATCATTTGCATTACTGATGATCAATGTTGACGCTTTGGAAAAAAACAAGAAATATGGGGGCTTTAAACTCCTAAGCTGTCTGGTTTTTACACTGGAACGTAAGCAGCCAAGTACTGCTACAAAAAGAGAATGATGGCAAAGGTAAATAGGTGATGCATTTTCAGTTTTGTTTCTTGTATTTTTTAAGAAAGAACTGAATTCTCGAGATGGAGCTTGGGACAAAATCTGTACAGAGAGAGATCCTTTTATCCTCTGTAGCTTGATGTGGTCCTGGATAGAGCAGCTGAGAGAACCTGTTATATCCAAAGATGATATCGACATGCTGGCAAGAAATTCCACAGAGTCACAGGATGCACTTTACTTACTGAGAAAGGTAGATACTGTCCATGTCAATTCGTTCTTTAACTGCCAAGTACGTTTTATTCATGTCTGTTAAACTATTCATTTATGACCTTCAGGCAATGGAATTGCACTTTAAAAAGGCAGCTTCAGTCTCTTTAAAAATCAGAATGATTACTTCTGTATTGAATAGTATGACCTGTAATCAATACTAAGATGATGAATATTAGAAGAAAAATACCAGATACTATGTTTGAACACCATTCATGAGAAGCTCAGCTTCAGCATGTTTCCTTGCAAATTCTGCAGCTTGAGATTCAAAGACAAAACTGAGAAACGTTTTTTCTCTGTGGCTCAATGTATGGCTCTTGTTAGTGTCACATCTGGCAGCTGTGCTTAATGGTTGTCATGTCAGTAGTGTAACCATCTGAAACTGTCAGCTTTGGAAGAGCTGGGACAAGGTATAGGAAGAATTTACCAGTTCATAGGATCAGAAACCAGGCAAAATTCCGCTACATAAGTCAGAAGTGTAGCTCTCTGTGTTTTGATGTGCCTATGAAAAACGGGTACTTCTGATCCAAACTCTTTAATTGTGCTTTCCTCAAAGGGCTAGATGTGAGGTGGATAAATTAAAAAAATTCTCTACTCGTGATCTCTGAATTACACAAATTCGTTTCTTAGTTCTTCAGGAATTATTTGTTTCTGAAGTATTTATGGAGAAAATAGGGCCCCTTTTAACACCTCCAAATATCCAAGAATACAGCTTCTCATCAATAGGTGGTCAGAACTTTATGTGCAGTCACCATCTTCATGATATGACATTCAGACTTCCCAAGTTCATCTAAAACCATGATGTTTCTTCATGAAGTGTTCTTCCACTCTGTCAGACTTTTAACTTTCTATTTGTATTAAATAATAATAAAAAATAACTTCTTGACACCTGTAATAAGTGAATGGGAAGGGAGCAATAATTTTTTTTTTTTAAATTTAAAAATATTAATTCTGTCGTACCTTATCCTGTATTATTTTAGAATCACAGAATGACTGTTGGCAGGGACCTCTGGATGCCTTCTAGTCCAACCACCCTGTTCAAACCAGTCAGCTAGAGCAGGTTGCTTGCATGATAGATGCTTCAGTCTCTTAATTATCTTTGTGGTCCCTCACTAAAATTATTCTAGTATGTCAATGTCGTCCTTGTGTACCAAGGAACTCGGAGCTGGACCCAGCATTCCAAATGTCACCTCCATTGATCTGCTGGCAACTCTGAGTCTAATACAGCCCAGGATGCTCTTAAGCTGCCTTTACCTCAAGGGCCTGTTGCTGGCTCATGTTCAGCTCTGTGTGCACTGGGACACGCAGCTTCTTTCCTGCGCTTCAGCCAGTCAGGCCCCTATATGTGCTGGTGTGTATTTTGCTGCTCTTTTCAGAAATCCCTCAAGTTTTAATTTGTCACTGTTGACCTGCCAGTGTGGAGATCTGCCTTCTTTGGAAATGGGATGGAAACTAAGAGCCACAAAGATACTGCTGCTCCCTTTGTACCTCCTTGCTAGTGCCTCTCCTGGTGTTTTTTTGTCCTTTGCAAGCTTCTTTTAATGGTGAAGAAGACTTGGTAGGACAGAGAGAAATGCAGGTCATCCTATGTTAATTGGAGAAAGAGCCCTAAACATACATACCATTGTGGGCTGAAAAGATCAGATCTCACTTTTTTGGTGCCAATTCACATGAATGCTACAGTTCATGTTGAGTACCATGAAAAATAAGTCTCCAGACACACACCTGACCTAGAAGTTTCCAAAGCAGTTTGTTGTAAGAGAAGAGTTTCTCCCATCATGACTGAAATAATTACGTAGAGGTTCTTTAGGCCTGTGAAAATTCCTTCCCCAACTCCTACACCTGAACGTTTCAATGCAGGAAGATATTTAAACAGCAATTAACAAAAACTGAAAGGGAATTGTTTTTCATGAAAATATTTCTTCTAATGAGCCACTTTTACCCACCAGGAACAGTGTCAGACCATCCTTTGTATTTTACACTGTGTGGTGAACTTGCAAATGCTACCAGCTGATGTGGAGGAGGCCTTACTTGCTCGTGCTATTAAAGCTTTCACTAAGGCAAGTAACCATTTGTCCTTGACATAGTATTTCTTTGTTTTAAATCACAAAGGGTGAATCAACAGAGCAGGCCTCTGTGGGCAAAGTTAAGGCAATTTCTTCATACTTACATACTCATACTTACCTGTTTCAGAGTTTACATTTTATAATAATCAGCCTACATAAAGGGGAGGAATTATTCTTGACAAAATTAAATTCTGTCCCTACAGCCTTAATTCTTTCATCTCATTTTTCTAACTCTGAATCACTACTAATTCATAGACTTGTTCAAATTAGGGAAAAGGTGATTTTTAAGTGGTAAGAAAAATTAGTCACTCAGAGTAACTTACCAGAAGGCTTTAGTAAATTCTATACTACTTTGGAGTCTTTCCATCAAATTAAATAGTTTTCTGAAATTACATGGCAATTCAGTTATGTTTCAGGGTCTTAATATGGGATGTGTATACATAACTTCTGCTTTTGGTATCATTTACTAACAGTGAGAGGTTAAGCTTGCTATGGCTCGGCTCAGAGCTGCGTGCTTCTTAGCTGCATCAGTGGAAATTATTTGAACAGAACATTTGTCATACTGCTTCCTAGTCTCTGGTAAATCCACAGACATCTCACCTGTTAAAACAATCATGACTTTTCTCCTTCCACTAATTTGTTTTAATGTCTATTCAACATAAAACTGAAAATACTTAGCATTAAGCACATTCTTTCTTTGATGCATCTTAAAACTATTTTTTTAAAAAAATGTTGGTTGTCTGCTTTGCATTTTGCTGTATAACACCTATTTAACAGATGAAAAATTTCTCCCTTTTATTAGACAAGCTTCGATTCTGAAAATGGACCATATGTTTACAGTACCTTGAAAAAAGTATTTAAACAAACACTGGAAGAAAAAAGAAAAAGGCTTAGGGAAGGAACAGAGAATCCCTCTTGATTTCTGCACAGCTATGCTGAAGAATTAGACGGGCCTAGCAAATTATTTTGCTTTTTCCAGCTACTGTATTTTGTGCTCTCTGGCATGATTTACCTAACTTCAGGTAAAAGTAGTTATTAACAAAGCATTTAATTTTTTTAGAGGGTGTTTTAGTGAAAATTGTTCTGTTTGGACTGTCCCAGAGAACAGCACCTGTGTGACTGCTGCAGCATTTGGTTTCATATGCTTTTATCTGTGAACTGTTCTCTTGTTTGCAAATGTATTTATTGATTTAGAAACCTCTGTCACTGGCAAGCAACATGATGCTCAATTACATGACTGCTATAAGTTCAGTGCCATTGTACACAAAGATTTAACAGATTAAGATTTATGTGTTACATATGTTTACATTAATGTTACTTGATTTTACTTTGCAGAAAATAAATATTGACTGAACTAATTAAACTCCTTTTCCTTTTAGAAATTTTAAAATAAGATAGAGTAATAATGAACAGCATTTGTGGTCTACTATTGGCAGCAGGTAATTTTTTTCTTTTAGATACCTTAATTGTCACCAATTTGTTTCTAAAAGGTGTTGCAGTAGAGAAATATATTAAGTGTATTGAGTTATCAGGGCCTTAATTTACATGTCTTTGGCTAAGAAAGCTTTAAAGTGATTTTAACAGAAAATCGATTTTGGCATTTTAAGTGCTTGGAAGAAGAGTAAAATTTTACCTTATTTGTAAAACTTCTATAGATTTTACTGGAAGTGAGAAAACAATTATCCAACCTTAGTAAGGGTATCGTCATTCCATCTGTAATTATGTTTATCAAAAATTTGCATAAATAGGTGTAACGTAATAATACTAAAAATGAATCAATGAAAATCTTATTATTTGTAAGACACTTTGCAGAG